CTGGGCGGATCATTACATTTTTTTTTGGAATATACCGGTCAACTATCGATGAAAATAATTCAAACCAATTTTCATAAATAACATCTATATCAGACGTGGAATCGCGAAAAATATTTTCCCACCCGGCTTGTATAAGAGCATAATTTAACTGATTTACATCAATATCGCTAAAATTCCGCACTGTTCTAACATAACATCTTGTTTTTGGCTTAGATATTGACAGTTTTCCAAATACTATATTATGATCGCAATTTGACGGTGGACTTAAGGTGCCTGTCGAAACAGATCCGGCGAATCAGAAATAATGAGGTCTAGAATAGACTCGACTGACTCAGTTATTCTAGTAGGTTCCTTTACAAGTTGAGCTAAATTGTTGCATTCTAAGAAGTGAAAAAGTTTGAGTCCCACATCAGTATTGGGCATCGTGGTATTAACAAAATTATAAAGACTATATTGTGATTGGCTTTAAGAATGCTAGTTAATGATTCAGAACATTTAAGCCCGCTGCACACAAGAGCAACTTGCTGAGCTAACCACCTTGCATGGCAGCTAGCTCAGCTATGTATTTTCACCACACATGTTGAGAAAACTACTCAACAACAACATAAATGACAAAATCATTTGCATTTTCCTCCATTTTGTTCCAAGTCACATGAAGAAACCATGGTGTGTCATTGGCTAATTGATTCAAACAGCTCAGCACTTAGCTCACAACATCCGCAGACGCTGAGATTTTTTCTCAATAAAAATATTAAACACGATAGATATTTTTCTCAAGGGGCCAAATCCTCATGAAAACTATCCGCACACGAAAGCAACTTGTTGACCTAACCGCCTCACGAGGCGGCATTTATTCTGCTCCATGAACGTAGATGATGAGTCTAAAAGATAATATAATACATTCTACCACTTGTATTTGTTGACCCTGAGCCATAGCATAAATTTGTGTATACTAAAGAAATTAAGAAACTGGAATGCATTATCCGCTAGGCTGATTAGCACCATGTTGCATTGTTTCAAGTTGTAATTTTTGTCGGTCTGAACTGTAGACTTCAATTCCATAAATTCAGATGAATGTCCTACGACCAGTACTCCTAGAACTGTTAAAGTGAGAAGGTTACTACCATTTGATGTCAAACACCAGATTCTATGAGTCGGGGATTACCAAGAACTAAATGCAGGAAAGTTGTTCAAGGTTGGTTGTATTTTAAGTCACTTCAAAAGTCCATCAAGAACAGTATCACTAATAAGATAATATAATTGTTTAAATGGGCAGGTGATGTTGGCACATTTGATCCTGGAGAAGAATATATGCATCGAAAGAGATGGGGAAAGAGTTAAACAAGAGGATGTTACTGATGATCTTAGTGCAAAAAGCCACCTTTCAAGAGCTTTGGCAGCCATATTTCCCAACTGTGAAAAGAAAAGGGTGTTGTGCAAACATAAACAAATATGTTCTTTTTACATGTGTAAAGGCTGATGTGCATAGGCAATACATGATCAATCTAATTTATTACATCGTATTACAAATGACATAATATTTTTATATTTGCCTGCTATATTGTTTTGGTTAATCTTCCCCAGGATACTACGTGCCTCTCATCACTCACCTTCCACCGCTGAATTTTTCTGCACAATCTGAAAATCTGTTTATGATGGTGATGAAAACATATAAAAGTATAAAGCTTTATTAAGACAATTGTGTATGAGGCACACAATTTATCGCTGCTGTGTGTAAGTTATACAAGTCCGTTCTCAGAACGCTCCAATCCTGCAGATTATTGACCTCAACTTCACGACACAAGGCGCAATCATATTGCTACCAGGCTCTGCCTCCAAAACGCTTGGCTGTGCATATAATAAGCGCCATATATGTGAGTAGATTGCGTGCATGCCCAGTGAGGCAGAAAAGTAATAACTGACACAGAACTACTGAAACACTCAACCCACTACAAAAAACCAAGTTTGACTTTCTTTTGCTCTTCAATAGCAAAGCTGGTAGTGTCCGAGAGGAGTTCATCCAAATTCTCAGGGATGAGCTTTGTTAGTTCAATGAATTTATCAGAGAGAATTCTTGAGACACACATAGGTGGACTTGGGGTATGACTGGGGCCCAAGCTGAAGGCTTTCTTGGGATCAAAATTGGGATTGGGGATAATGTTAGGGGCAGGAGTAAATGTCGTTGGTGGGGTTGAACACACTAAGCAATGGTTGAGGTGGGGGTATTGAAGAACCTGTTTCTGGGCCACTACCACTTATAGCATTAACAAATGAAGGTGCATTAAACCTATCTTGAACCACAGACAAGTTACCTGGTGCTGACGCTCTTGATGTAGTTGGATGTGAGGGAATAGAGTTGCCTAACTGCTCCAAATTATCGGGTCTAGGCATAGAATTGTCTGGAGGCCAGAGAGAAATTCTGTCGATTGAAATGCTGCAGCCCAGTTGATACGTGCATCTGTGGCAGATGGTTGAGATTTGCCCATATCTCTTGTGTTTGTAGCCATCATATAAACAATTCAACCTTCTTTAATGTAAACCAATTTCAAACTTTTCGCTTTATTTTGGAAATGATCCGTACACTTTGACCATATGTTGTGCAAGCAGCGCATGACCATATGTTGACCTAATGACCATATGTTGTGCAAGCAGCGCATGCAACGACAGGCACACCTCAACAGTGACACCCCGTTTTGCGGATCACACTTGGTTCACTAGCTATTAACTTATAACATTAATTTAGTAATATACAGCATTAAATAAGGCCAATGAAAATTGATGTCATGTTTCTCATCCACAATTTTCAAAAATTTGGAGCGGGATTTTTTCATTTTTCATTATTTTTTGTATTTGAATTCTGCTTGTCAATAATTTCCTTGACCCAGTAAAACCCCCATAAAAATCTGAAGTAATAAAAATTGGTGTATAATTAATTTTAATTTAATATGTCGTACACTACAGTGTACAGACTACAGTATATTTCTATACATACCAGGGCTGACATGAAAAATAGAGGCATTCTGGCGAGTAATATCTTTAGAAAGATAGAATTTGAGTTGCGCTTGCGGAATGCGGCAATAAGACTTTGATCTGGAGATAAATTTGGTGTTTTAAAGCCTATTTTTCAAAAATAATGAATAATGAAAAATTTTCGTGCGGCAGATAAATCCTATGCGGGCGGGGACGAGAAACATGATATCAATTTTCATTGGCCTAATTCAAAATAGTAGAGTATTTGGGTCAATTACAGAGTATGATGGTCTTGGGTGTATCTTTTCCATTGTCTTTCAGCATTTTTATGAGCCAGATTAGCTGTTGTAATTGATTTAGTTTCTTTGTTTTTGTCACAGAAAATCTTATCATGTTACGGAGTACGATGGTCTTGGGTGTATCTTTTCCATTGTCTTTCAGCATTTTTATGAGTCAGATTAGCTGTTGGAACTGTGATTTAGTTTCTTTGTTTTTGTCAAAGAAAATCTTAAATTTGGTTTATTTGGACTAACATAGACAGAAGAGATTTTTAATGGTAGCTTGGGTGTGTTTGTCTGCTGTCCCAGTGAGAGCCCCAATAGGAATACCTACAGTTGAATAAAGCAAAACACAAATAGAAACCATTCACTGACAGAGTAGGTACCATTGACAAGTAAAATCTCAAATGAGAGTATTGGCTAGGTTCTATAATACCTTGCCATTGCGTTTACCAGTGTGTGAAATTATGTTCCTGTTGTTATTAGGGGTTAAATTAGGGTTACGGTTAGGGTATTTGTTAGCTTGGTAGTTTAAGTACTGGTTAGGTCAGTGATAGGGTATTCTAGAATCGCTCCCACTATAAACCTTTGTATTAATTTGTTCACACATATGTGTATGTCGAAATCACAATACAAGCATACCTGTGCTACAAAATGAGAGCGGTCCCTTACCGCCCAAGTCTCTAAAGTGCGAGACTCAACAATTACTGCGGCCTTGTTTTCATAATGTGGCATGTTTTGCTTTTTCATTGCTGCCAAAAACTGTTTGCAAAGTATGTCCCCAGCTGATCCAAACAACAGCTGGAAGTTACCATGTTCTAGGGCATCTGAAGTGAAATAGTAGGCCTACCGATTATACTTTCAAGGGGACATACAACAATAGCATATTGTTTGTGCTTAGTAATTATATCTTTCTGAGGCCTTAAAACTAATTGTACTTCGGGAGTTGCTAGAATTTGTGAAAGTGCACTTCGAAATCTTCCAATGTGGACATGTTGTGATTTTGCCACGCATCAAGAAGATAAAAAATTTGCAATAACATGTTACCAGAAGTAAAGAGAGAGTGCTAATCATTATGGACCAATCAGAATACTGTGTTCGCTGGTGAATGCATTATTTTTTTCAGCTGGACATGGCTGCAGGCATTTATTTAGCCATTGCCAGAAATTTCGGACAAGATGGCGGCTATCATATAGGAGATACAATGGGGAGAAAAGAAATTCCAAAAATTTTCCTAGTTCTCGCTTATTTTTCCAGAGATTGTAGCTCGATATGTGTTATGCTAAATCTAAGGTACCTTTTTAATTAAAAAACTCCACCAACCTCTTTCCCCACATTGTTCCCGAGCTCAATGCATTTTTCTCCACTAATTTTGCCTATTCTGCCACAGATGCCATAATAAGCTTGCTAAACCTATCCCAGAAATTGTCCGATTTGGCCATCATTCGTGTTAACCAATGCGAGGATCGTAGCTCGATGTACATTCGACAGTGTTCAAGCTTTCCGTATAACTTGTAACCTGAAGTTCAGGCCCTAATTTTAAATAGGGCCTGACAGAAAAGCTGTCTAGACCGTGGGACGCCCACATGTTATTTTTAGACACAGCATGCAATATGATTGACAAGTGTTGTAGATTTCAATACACAAAAAATTTATATTCTCATGAACATGTCCGCAGAGTGTGCATTTGCTTAGTTTAATTAAACTTAAAAATTCAAGGCACTTTTATATAATTATTAAAGAGTCAGTTTCTCTATTTAACGGAACAGCAAACAAAGATTTAATTAGTTGGTTCTGTGCACTGCTTGACTACCAAGCTTTCTCAAGGTCTCAACTTGCTGGACGCGAATATACTCTAACGGGCTAACAACAGCAACAATGAAATTCTCAATGGTACCACAAAGAAGGCGATGTAGCTTAGAAAACAACGCAGGTAGGACCTGATATTAAAAATAAGACTTTTGCTGGTGAAGACAGTTGGCAGAACATCTTGGCTGTCAACAACAAGCTTTCAAATACATGACTAGTTTGGCTGTTCTTTCAGCGTCGTGTGTCCAAAATTCGTCAATGATTTTTATAAAGCCCTTTCAAAATACTGTTTGTTTGATTTATTTTCTGCCATAAAGCATAAAAGAAAAGAAATTCGAAGAAATCGATAATGGAATTTGTTACATGCATTTGACCTTTATATTAATTGTTGCCTTGACCGAGCTATTTTTAAAACTGTTGTTTATGTCAACTTGCAACCAATCAAAATCTTTCATGATGCTGATCAACCAATCAGATTTCCCGTCCACCAGATGGACGGGAATCCCACAGTTCAGGCCCTATTCTGTGATTAGGGCCTGAACTTCAGGTTATATAACTCGTAAAGCTTGTATTTTTGTTTGCACACATTGTCCCCGAAGCCTGTGAATATTGGGGTTTTATCGCTTTGTTGAGAACTTTTTATGGATGGCTTTCCCTGATGTAAAATTCACCATAAAGCGACGCACACAAAGTACTTTTTTTGCATGAAGGCCGCCATGTTTCTTGTTGCTTTCTCGCTAAGATATATCCCTATATACCGTAATATATCCTCATTAGTCCTCTCTATATACCCTCAACCCCTCCCCAAACAACTTTGCAATTGCACAAGTTTGAGATTTTGCAAAATCATCATTTCGCAGGAAACTCACAATGTCTGAAATTCTCAATCGTTACAAACAGCAAAAGGTGGATTGGAAATTAGGATTATGCTCTGGAGCCCCTCTTTCTTATGTTAATCGTGAAATCGATTTAAGAAATGAGATATTGTTTTGTGTGGAAATCCCATGGCCATTATTACATATGTGGCACAACCTTCTTGAAGGCATATCCTGTGAAAATGCAAATTACATTGATTTGTTTAATTTGGTGGCGGTGGTCGATGGCTGGTTTGTATTACAACGTGATTGTAAATGAATAGAAGAGCTTCTTGTGAAGAAGTCTTCTGAAGTTAAAGTTGCTTACAAGAATGCGAGGGGGAGAAAGTTCAAAATGCTAGATGACAAGGTCTACAGGATGAGTGTGAGAAGAGGGGAGATTGGCTCATCAGCGGTAAACAAATTGGAGATTAAAAGGTGCCGTGAGGAGGTTGAAATGTACAAAAGCAAATATAGCGATTTGGAAAAGGAGAAACATAGCATTTATGAAGAAATGAAGACAGAGGTAACCAGGCTAGAGGAAGAACATGACTTGAAAGAGGTCAACCAAGAATTGGCAGATTATGTGAAGGTCCTGGAGATGAAGGACTCTTTTAAATGCCAGGGCAAAAAGATAAATGAGGTAGGGTATAAACAAAAGGGAAGAAAACTTCGAGAGTTAAAAAATCAAAGTTTTGGTTTAGAACTATCGCAAATAAAACTGCACGATAAAGATGGCTGTGGTTACTCCTTGAATTATGAAGATGTGCCAACCCCCTCCTCTGATTTGCCAGATAGTGATCAGAATAAATTAAAAACACTTTTGTTCTTGTTAGACAAATTTTGTGTGAGGGATGAGGTTTACCATGAATTGACAATGCAATCGGGTGATTTACCTAAATCTTACCTCATCAAACAATTGCGAACAGATTTAACTCTTTCTCGACATGTGACATTTTTCACGGCAAGCAATATTTTGATTCAACTGTTTTATAACGTAAATATTTCAGTGCGTATTCACCCCCCTTAAAAACAAGGAACACCATTGGAATCTTAACAAAATAAGCTTTTCATCGGGGGGTCTAATGCCGTCAAAACAAATACACAAACCGAAATAATCATATATTTACTCACCGCTTGGCCGAACATTCTGTATTTTCATATGGAGAAAATGTTGAATATTTTCTAAACTCTTCAGTATTCGCCGCAAGTTA